ATTATTAGGTGGGGTTGGTGTTTCTCCCTCATTGTCTTTATAATATTGAAAACAGACAATAGTGATTAATGATTAAGGTCATTAACAACCAAAATAAAAACCAAGCACATCAAAAAAGATGAAATCACACAATAGGGAAACAAATCCATGCATTACACATGACACCCCATAGTAATAAATACAAGAGAAACGTATACACTTCCTATCTCATAGAAAAAGTAATAAAACAAACATAAGAAATGAAAAATCATTTTTATAGTATAGTTATGTTTTTATGCTAATTAAAAAATTGATGCAACTTACTAATTACTTTTGAGAATAAAACACCAGCAACAAACTGGTTCAGTACATGGGCTTCTTTATCTTAATGAATTTAAAATAAATAAAAGTGGTATTAACTATTCCTGAAGTCCCCAACTAATGCTATCCTAAAAAAATGACTTCAATGTAGAAGACAATTAACGGTGTGAAAGGCTTCAGTGTTTGTATGAACTATATGAGATACAGAGGAATGAACTAATAGAAAAACATTAACTTAACAGCTCAGCTAAAGTGAAATTCATTCTTATAGAATTCTCTAAAAATGTGATTCTTAAATTATTCCAGGAAAATGGAAGGATGACATTCCAGAAGTTAGATACCAGCTATTCAGAATGAAAGCAATTCTACATGTCTAGAAATATGCAATTAAACTTGCCTGTTCCCATTATCAGATGTACTTTGATGATATCTGTCACCTTTATTACATTAAAAAGTTACTGATAATGAGCAATTCTAGTAGCTTCATATGTTTTTAGTTGTAAAACTAAAAACTCCACTGAGAGAATGCTTCCATCAAAACATATCTCATGTACAATATACATAATAGCATTGCTTTCACACCATGGTAAGCAGAGATAAAAAGGCACAAAAAGTACACTCTATTATTCATAAATAAAAAGCAGTCAGTTAGACACTTGATAAAATTAAAGATATTTTGCACTGTTCAAAGAAAGTCACAATTTAAAAAACTTGACAACTGGGTAAGATTAGGATTCAGTTCTGAGTTTCAAATAAATATAGTGAAAATTTGATAAAAGAAGTATATACAAATACACTGATTTACTGATTATACAGTGTTTTAACTTTTTTGAGATGGAGTCTCACTCTGTCACCTAGGCTGGAGTGCAGTGGCACGATCTTGGCTCACTGCAACCTCTGCCTCCTGGGTTCAAGTGATTCCTCTGCTTCAGCCTCTGAAGTAGCTGAGACTACAGGCGCCCACTACCATGCCCAGTTAATTTTTGTATTTTTAGTAGAGGCTGGGTTTTGCCATGTTGGCCAGGCCAGGATCTTTTAAGTTTTAAAATCCTTTCAAGAGCATTAAACATTATGATACATAAACATAATAGGGACTTTAAAAAAAACAACAATAAAAGGTAAGTATTTCATTTAGAAAGATGGGGAGAAATTACGATTGACAATAAATGTCAGAGTAATATTGAAGTGGGATGAAGAAGAGAAATCTATAGTTAATTGCTTTATTTTAGGAAAAAAATTAATGGAAAAATGATCATGGTCTATAAACAGTTTAATGGAATTTATATTCTGTTCTATATTTCGTTTCTTTTTTTTTTTTTTTTTTTTCAATTGCATTTGGGCTCTAGGGTACATGTCCACGTCCTGCATCCTGCAGGATTGTTGCATAGGTACATACATGCCATGGTGGTATTTCTTTATAATTTGCTTCTACTAGATTCAAAATCCATGGCAGAAAGAGCTAAAGCTTCAACAAACCTTTACTCAGCATAACACATGATAAAATACAGTTTTCTAGTAGGTACTCATTAAATCTTTTTGAATAAACAAAAAAAGTGAATGTAAAGCTGGGTAAAGGTTAGGTGTATATCTTGGTCTGGGGCACTATCTATAATTCTAGTATGATTTAAACATCAGAGAAAATATTCAGCCAGTTGGGTAAATTAAATATTTTGACATATTGCCAAAACAGTCTAAGTAATACCTATTCATTAATAAAAGTAGGTAATTTATCTTAAAGTTAGTGCTGAAAAGCAATCTATTCTTCATTGTTCATTTATAAATTTGGAGCCTAAAGTCTTATGTAAAATTGAAAGGTCATACTTGAAAACATTCACGCATTTATTTTAGGTACACAGACCTGCCTTGACCTCTTCTCCCTGCTTTTCTCCCCCCTGCTCTTCCACATGCTCAGTTTCTTCATTAACTTCTGCTCTTGCACAAACAAGAGTAAAGGAAAATATTAAGACTGAATAGGTTACTCTTCAATGAAACTAAACAAATAAAAATTTCTAAATTATTCATAATGATAAGGAGACCAATATTTATTTATTTATTTATTTAGAAACAAAGTCTCTGTTGCCCAGGCTAGAGTGCAGTGGAACAGTCACAACTCACTGCAACCTGTGTCTCGTGTCTCCTGGGCTCAAGTGATCCTCCCACCTCAGCCTCCAGAGTAGCTGGGACTATGGGTGTGCACCACTATGCCTGGCTAATTTTGTAATTTTGTAGAGATGAGGTTTCACCAGGATGCCCAGCCTGGTCTTAAACTCCTGAGCTCAAGAGATCCACCCGCCTTGGCCTCCCAAAGTAATAGGATTACAGGTGTGCGCCAGGTAAGCCACTGAACCTAGCCCAATAGATTACTTTTACTAAGTTTCTGACATGCTATAGAAAAGTAAATAAATTTACCGGTTAATTCTCATATTGTCTGCTTTTATGATGACTTTGATTTGTAAAAGAGAAATTGTGACTTTTAAAGTATCTGTAATATGTGGATAACTGAGTAAAGTAGGCAAAATATCTATAAACTTGGTTTATTACTAAAAGATAATGTTATATGACTTTTCTTCTAGAAAAACAGGAAATGACATTATAAGTATTCTTTTTACAAAATGGTAGTACATAAAAGTTAGAGAAAAATAAAATAAAAATGCCTTATAGTTGTTTAGTACATTGTACTTTCTATATTGTTCTTATTTTATTTCTCTGGTTCTAAGCAAAGAGAAATGGCTAAATATATAACAGACTAAAATATAAAATAATCAAAATCATAAAGAGTTAAATCCTGACTTGCTCATATTTTGGCTATTGGAAAGGATTTGAAAATAAATATTCCAATACTATAATTCTAAAATAATGCCATTAAATTACAACTTCTCGCAATTAACTTTTCAGGAGATAATCCAAACATAATTTGATCTAGACCATCTAATTTGATCTAGACCATCTACTGATAGTCTATTTTGTGTTACTAAAGATTAACTGAACTTGAAGATTTCTAAAAGAGATATTCTATATCTTCATTAAAACTAAAAAATTACATAATCTACTGACGTTTCGATATCAACATTTACGAAAAGACTTTTAAAAATCATCCATACTTTGATGTAAAACAAAACTAAGAAACAAAACCCCTTTTATTTCATACTAAAAAGGATAAGGGAGGTTTTGACTCCTCTTTTATAAAATTAAAAAAATGGAAAATTCACAATTGGGGACTTTAAAGGAAAATTGTGGTTTTAATTAATTTTATAGAGAAAAAAAATAATAATAAAGAGATTCTTTGTTGAGAAGCCCATCAGAAACTTCATCAACCCCGACTTTTGGTATTAACAATATGCTCTGTTTCCTGGTATATTTATTATTACAAAAAATAGAGCTACTTATATTTCAATAGACTATTGCTACAAAAGACATTAAAAATTCAATTAAAAATGTGCATAAACTATGGTTTCTGACGTTGTATGACAATAAATGATGTTGAAACTCTATCTTTAAAAATATCGAAGAGACAAAAAGTTCCCTAAATACTACTAAACTTTCCTTAGGAAAAGTAATTTAAAATTATATGCCCTCAATCTTATGCAAATAATTAAGAGCTATACAAATGCTGTGAATGCTTTTTATCAGGCAGCGTAATAGACTATCAGTCACAATAGCACTGGACTGTTCAAAATCATGGTACTTATAAATAGAAAGAACCAAAAAACAGAAGTTGACCATCATCCAGTTAATAAGAACACAACTTATATCAACAAGTTATATAAGACTATAAAAGTATTGCTGCTCAAATGCAGCACACTTAACAAATTTGTAACAAATAGGTTACAGAAATATGAATTTTAATATAAACATATGTAAAATGACAAGATTATTTTAGTGATACTTTGTATACTATCTGAGATAGCTTTTCCCTTTTTACATAAATATTTCATGCATTCATTTAACAAAGATTTATTGAGGGTCTATAATGTGCCAGGCAGTATTCTATGTGCTGGAGATTCATCAGTAAACAATTGAAAGATTTTAAAGATACAAAGTTAATTTCAGATTTCCATAACTGGTAGAGGATTTTGTATTGATCTAGCAAATGTATGACACTCCATATATCACCATTCAATATTTTCTTCTGAGTCACAGAGTTTGATGATAAAACTGTATTATATTTAACTCTGACATACTATAAGCAGTCTCACTACAACATGAAAAATGATGTTGAAAAGACAAATGACAATCACTAATTCAACAACTTTCTTTTCTAGAAAGCCAAATTTAATAATTAAAAATATCATCATAAATACAAAATGAAATATATGATGATAAATATAACTACACTATGTGTACATCCTCAGTGATGTAAACGCAGACTGCAATTGACATCTTTGATTAAAGTCTTACTCCAAAACTAGTATTCTGGTTACAAGGTACACAAAAATTTTATGAAAGAGAACATTTTATCTGGTCATTTAAAAGAAGTTAAACTCTGCATTCTTACTTGATAAATCAAAAAAAATTTAACTTCTTGGTATAATTTCCAAGTTAAAAAAAAGTTGAATACTTTGTCAGATATCATAAAACAAAATAATTTTACTGTATATGTCTATACAATGAAGGGATATCAATTGCAGTTGGGTTTATTTTTGCTTACTAGCCCCCCAAAAGGCTGTTAGCATAAAACAAACCCTCCTTTATGTACAGACCTTCATAAGGTTCTATCTCCTTGACTCCATTGTCTAGGGAAAACAAAATAAAAACAAAAACAAAAACAAAAAACAAAACAAAACAAAACAAAAAAGGGAACCAAAGCACAGGGGTTAAAAACAACAGAAATTTCCAAAGGCACAGAATGTATTATCTACTAGAGAAAAGTTAAATGATTTAAATATATATGTATATTTGCAAAGCACATCCAGTTACCAAATCATTATATTCAGTTATCCATGCTTTAAGAAGTTATTTATCCAAAAATTTATAGATGTTTGGGAAGTATGTTCACGTGTGTGTCAGCAAATAGTGCTTCTTATGCAAAAATGTAAAATTAATAAAAACATCAGTACAACATGCATCTTTCATTGTATATTCATGATTACCTTTTTCTTGTTCTCCAGTTTTGAGAAGGATCACCATTGTTGTGCATCAGCTAACCAGTCCTTTGCAGTGTGTGAAAATTGATTTGGCTAGTTACTAATAAACTTTATATAACTATGAACAATTACATAAACTTACTTGTAGCAAAGAAATATTATCGAACTGCTTATTTAAGAGTATTATGTTTACTTTTTAAGATGCATTTATTTAAATTTTAAAATGTGCAAGAGCAATAAAGATACCTTATTTTACCTGGAACTATTACAAAGTTTTATGCAAAGATACATAATATTTATAAATATAACTATTATCAAATACAGACAAGGCACACAATTAACAAAAGAAGAAAATTAACACAAAGGTAGTAAGAAAATCTTGATTCACCTTAGGTTCCATGTGTATTTCCTAAATGACAATAATTAGAAATAAAACTTACTTCTCTCCAATGTTCCCTTTGGTGGAAGCTGTGGAAGCTGCCGGCCCCTTCGTCCTGCCAACGGAGTACTTGATGGGCTTGTCTGGACAGACCCAGTACGAGGATGAGACCTAAAGACACACCATTAATATTCATTTTCAGTACAATGAGTTATGCATTTTTAATAACTACATTTGGTTCATATGATAGCTGTATAAGTACAATTTAAAAAGAAGTTTAGCTGCAGATTAAAAGGTTAGGAAAACTGGACAAAATATGGATATCTGAATGACTAAATAGCAATAGATGTTTATTTTCAGTGTAATATGCATACATACACATACATGCACACAAAACCCTATAGTAAAATCCATGGAATTATTAATGTAAATTAGTATTCTATCCATATGAAAGCAAGAGGAGAATTTTGCAGCTCAAGAAAGAAAAGGTACTACTTTTCTTTCTACCAGATTTCAAACTTTTAACACTAACCTTTCTCCCTTGATCCAGAGATTTTTACTCAGGCTTATATTAAATACCTCCTCATTAGAAAACATCTCATCAAAGTACAAATAAAACCCTGAACAATTCAAGATTCAACTAAACAAAATACTGGTTAATACATGATATTAGTATTGATAGAAAGAAACTAAAAAATCTAGTTTTATTTATAATCATTATGATGATTTGAAAAGTGATGTGTAATGGACACAGATAGTTTCTCATTCTGTAGGAGAAGAAGATGACAGTTAATGAGGGAATTTACCCAGGACTCCTGATTAATGAGAAATCACAAAACAAATGCAGTCAGGACAGTCAATAAACAGATTACAATGGTAGCCACACACTATTATATCCACTGAATATAAATAGTGTGTTTACATTGAAAAGGTTAGTACCGATTGTTACTAGTGATCAGCCAAAGATGACAGAAGAGACCATTTAGCTGCTGGGAAAATAAAATGGTGTGCTAGTGGAGCAAAGGGGAAGTTAGTCTGATTGATTTATCTTTCACCTCGATAAGGCAGGTGAAGGAGGGGCAGATCTTCCGGTCATTAATGAAGGCATCGACCTCATGAGGTTTGTATCAGGACGTTCAGTGGATCTGGAGCGGGTGGTGGTCCGCTCAAGGAGAGGCTGTTGTTCTGTTGATCTGGATCTGTGATATGGCTGTCTATCTGCTGCTTCACAATCCCTGAAATGTTAGTCAAAAAGCAGCTCAGTTGATCTTTAGTGCCCTTCTGCTATTTGGTTATGATGCATCAAACTGATTTTGAAAAAGGTAATTGTTTAAAATTTTGGAGTATGTAAATTTTTTCTTTTCCCCAACATATTCCGAGCAATTTCAAACTAAACTTAAGAATTTCTAAAAAAAACAAAATCTGCATTTCAAAATCAGTGAAGATAACAGTTGCTCAGTTAAAATAAACAACAAACAAAACTGCCTGCTTTCTAAAACAAATTCCCTAAATGGAATATATAAAATATGAGAATTATTCTATTTTAAAAGAATTCAATGACTTTCCTAACATTTTCAAGAGTGAAGAAAACCATATAATCATTAATTCTGTAGCACCTGAAGCTGTTTATTACTATACCAACTAAGATATAAAAAGGCTTTCAGAAAACACTACATACCTGAACATTTAAAAGGAAGAATCAAGACGAAGTTATAAGAAAATAGGGTGACTTTGAAGTCTATAGCCATATTTAAACCTTAATCTACAAGAAAAATCACTCTGTAGAGAACTGGTTAGTTGGCTGTCTATCTCAGTACATATTAGCTATGCCAACGGATTCAATTCAGAATGGGTATTGATTGAAATAATAATTCCGGAACAACGTGATCTCTTTGACCACAAATAAATCTAACACCAAAACTTAATCCTTGTTGAAGGAAGTATCCTTAAATTTGAGCAATCTCTCATTGTTGACCTTTCTATCCTTGGAACCTAGCATAATACTTTTACATCTAACATGATCAATAAATGTTTTCTAACACCAGCCCCACAATTTGGGAGACAACTTTAAAAGCACTAGCTTTGGCTTCGGAACTCAAAAGTAAAACATATGCAAAATTATATTTCAAATAAAACTATTACCTCCCCATCCTGTTGTAACCACAAAAATAGAAATGCTTATATACTATACACAGTCAAGACAGCGTTAGTCTCCCTCAAAACTAATGTTTCAATGACATTGATTTTACCTATAAATTTTCTCAACCTTATTTTAGATAACGAAAAATGCAAGCAATTAAAGAAAAATGAGGAAAAAAAGGGACATAATTTCCCACATGTCATGAATTATATGGCAAAAAATTTTGTACTAGTTGACATTAGATTAGGTGACTTTAGAAAGTGAATATTGGCTTTATTGTACACATCTTGAGTATTTCACATTTTAAAGTCTAGGGTAACATAGAAATCAGAGCATTTCTAAACACTTTTAAGTCCATATTCTATCATGTGATTGACTTTCTAAGAAAAGTTTAGTATTTCCATATAAGTCCATCCAGAACATGTCAAAAAATAACTGACATTAAATGTAAACACATGTAAAACATTTAATTACTAGTATGTTTAAGAGAAATGAAAAAGTTACCTCATAGTGTAAATATCATAGTTGTCTTTTCATTTCTGAAAAGCTATTTTAAAAGAACATTTTTCCTTAGAAATAAGTGTGTTCAGTAGTTTGCTACATGTTTTTAGTCTAACATCTTCATATATCTTCATCACAATGAACAGAAACAAAGGGTGTATCTCTCTCTATATTATTACCTAAATTGTGTAAAATCTATTTTTAAGAGTACTGTCTTTACATTTATTTTAAAAAGTTCTTATTTTACATTAATAATAAACATGTTATTATATAACAAAACTTAGTGAAATAGCTACAATTACCCTAACAGAAAATTAGACTAATACTTCATTTATTCATCTACAATTTCATTTATTCTAGTTCCATAAAGAAATTTTTCTAGGTGGAAAGTAAAGTAAACGTTAGGATATGTAATTTCACTTATTTGTGAATAATTACTTTTAATAACTGAAAAATATGATTATGAGTGAAATCTAGAGAATTATTTTAAATGTGTTGCTATGTCCTATGTCCTCAAAAGGAAACCATTATTTATAAAACAGAGGTCACTCCTTAGGAAGTAGCCCTTACAAAAAAAAAAATCTCTTTATAAAAAAGTTGTTTGAAAATTAACCCATCTTTTACATTTTATTTATGTATTTCCTCTCCATAATACAAAGTATATATTAAATAAATGCTATAGTGTGAAATGAAAATAGGTTAAGAAATGAAAAATGAAAAGAATCACAGTAGAAGGTAGAAATTTTCCCAAATTTCCCAACACAATTAAGGGAAACTTTGATAGTACATAGAGAAGGCTGACACAGGCTTCCGCTCCCAGAAGTGGATAAAAATAGGTCTGACTAGCTTAGACACAATGTTGTTACTATAAAAATTTAAAGTAGCAGTGCCTAAATTACCCAGTTTTATGTCAGGTACCTTAAAGGGATTGAGATATAACACTCACAAACTCCTACCAAAATTCTGAATTAGTTTTAATTTTAAGATAATAATTTATAAATAATTAATTTTGAATAGCAGCAGCTGAAAAGTAGGAAATAATAAACACTTGCAGTGTTTAAAATATTTTAGGGCCTACTTGGGGTTCTTAACTTGAAGTCTTTATTTCAATATAAGTAGTTTCCTCTGTACCTTATGCTATGCATATAAAATATTATTCAAAGAAGAGTGGCCTTGGTTTGATCAGACTAGCAAAGGGTAAGCCACTAAAAAAGCCAGGGCCCTCTCACCAGTAAATTTAAATCTTTCTTAGGTAAATAATTCCATTGTCTTTTAAAAGTGATTTAATGTCTGTCATTGTTACATCTTTTTGAATAGCTTATATTTTGTAATCTATATTTATAGTTCATTTTTTTTTTTGTACTTGAATGGATCTAGGCTACTGTCCAGCATTAGCTAGTGGTTGCTATTCTAAACTGCATGCATTCACAAAGGATACTGTGTATTAGCCCCTCCACTAATTTGCTGACTGACAGTTTTACAACAATACATGCTATTGTTAACAACCCGGCCTTAAAAACACATTATTAGCATATGCAGATTTTGAGATGAGAATGAACTGACAAGAGGCCACAATAATAAAGAAAACAATCTGGAAGGCCTTCATTTTAAATAGCAATGTTTATGCACAATAAAATCTAAAACTGAAAGTGAATTATTTAGTATTTATTTTCAGTCATTTCTAAGGGAAAAATAATTTTATAATTATCCAGTGAAGTTGCCAGTTTTGAATCATTTTTTGGGTCAATATAAATACTTAAAAATTTTCCAAGTATTTGATGCAACTTCCTACTATTTTATCAGTTTTGCTATGTACTATAGGTTTCCTAATTCAATGAAAGAATTTGTATGCAAGGTACTATGGAAGAAGAGATCAGTGGGCACTCTTGTCTATAGCCCAGTGTTATTGCCATCCATCCAACCATCCATATCTTTCACAATGATACAACTCCAGATCAAAGTAAGCTCAATGTAGAGTATCTCTACAGGTATGATAAATACTAAGAATACTAAAACTCAGAAATCAATGAAAATTTTCCCCATATGTAACCCAGAACCTAGTCTGTATTAAATCAGACTTATTTCATGTTTATATTGTAAAAATGTCATAAGTAAATGCAATAGGTTTTCTTGAAAAGTAAACTTGTAAAAAGTAAAGCTACTTAGGAATTATTCTTTTACTTTATAAAGCTGACACCTTAAATTTTAAAAAAATTGGATATCTCTCTGAAGGACAAGTATAGCCTCAGGTTTGGGTCAAGGAATGACTTCTCTATATCCATACTGTATAGAATAAGCTGATTAACAGCAGAAGTGCCGGGTGCAGTGGCTCATGTCTGTAATCCCAGCACTTTGGGAGGCTGAGGCAGACAGATTGCTTGAGCTTAGGCATTTAAGACCACCCTGGCAATATGGCGAAACCTATATCTACAAAAACAAAAAACAAAAAAAGTACTGGGTGTGGTGGCATACTCCTGTAGTCCTAGTTGTTTGGGAGGTTGAAGTGAAAGGATCGCTAGAGCCCAAGAGGTCGAGGCTGCAGTGAGCTATGAACATACCATTGCACTCCAGTCTGGGTGACAAAGTAATACCCTGTCTCAAAAAAGGTTTAAAAAAACCAGCAGAAACATAGTTTTGTTAAAATATCTTGAATGCCTAGAGATTTTCTGGGAATTAACTGCATAACTGAAGTATAAATATATAATAAAATATACTAGAAAACATTAAAAATAAAACATTTTAAGGTAATTAATATAGCATATATACATATTTCTACAACAAAGTAATATGACAACTTTAAAATTATACTTTTCATGTTCATCACTAATGTGCAAGATTAACTTTTTAAAAATTCTAGTTCATTATTTTAGCATTGTTTCTAATGTTAAGAGGAGTGCAAGATACAAAATTTTTGCCATAGAAATCACGGTAAATAAGCAAATAGGTATTGTGTACAAATAGGAATATTATATTATTTTGGAGAAAGATTAATTTATCCTTGGGCATAATAGCATTATTCTATAGAATATTTCTGTTGACTTACATGTAAAGACTACATTAAAAGTAAATAAGCTTATTCAAAAATAACAACAATATTTAGAGTCAGCCAAGTTAATAACAATCTAAAATGTCAAAAGGTGTCATATATATATCGATGAGACAAAGCAAGACATCATTCATCTAGAAAAAAACTACTATTACTCACAAGCCTATTATTTTATTATCAAAAAGAGAAGTACTCTCCCATCTACAGAGGTATTTAAAAAACATATTCATTGAAAATTGCATGAAGAAATGATAAACTATCCCAATTTCCTCAAGAAAATTAGGGACAAATACAATACCGAACAATAACATACACTGTATTAATAAACACACACACAAAACATACAAGATGAAAATATCTTGAAGATATTTTGAGTATTGTATTAAATGTTTATAATTTTAATTGTCAATTAATTTTTGTTTAAAAAAACAGAAACAAAACCACAAATAAGCAGGATTATTTCCTCAGCATAATTAATACAGAATAAATTTATACATCTTTAAAATATAAATTTTAAGAATAGTGAGAGATAATTTGACATGCTGCCT